GGCGCAGTGGTTGAAAGTCCGCCTGCCAATGCGTGTCCCAGTCCGGGAGGATCCCACGTGCCGCAGAGTGGATGGGCCCGTGAGCCATGGCCGCTGAGCCTATGCGTCCGGAGCCTGTGCTCCGCAACGGGAGAGGCCACAGCAGTGAGAGGCCCGCATACCCCCCCCCACACACAAAATATACATATATATATATATTTCCTATGATTATCAGATTATAGATATTAAATTTCTTCTGGACTCAATTAGCATCATAATTATTAGTAGTACATAATTGGTCAGAACAATATAGATGTTATAAATTATGACAAATAATTATTAAACATGAAAAAATTTCAGTAAAAATGTTTTGCTCAATGAGATGATAGGCCTATGTTTTTATTTGGCCTATGTTTTATTTGGTGGTTAAATATTACATTGTTCACAAAAATAAGTAAATGAGAATGGAAGTTTTCTTTTTATTTTATTTTATTGAAGTATCATTGATTTACAAAGTTGTGTTAATTTCTACTGTACAGCAAAGTGATTCAGTTATAATACATATATGTTCCTTTTCATATTCTTTTCCATTATGGTTTATCACAGGATATTGAATATAGTTCCCTCTGCTATACAGTAGGACCTTGTTGTTTATCCATTCTAAATGTAATAGTTTGCATCTACTAATCCCAAACTCCCAATCTATCCCTCCCCTCCCCTCCCTCCTTGGCAACCACAAGTCTGTTCTCTATGTCTGTGAGTCTGTTTCTGTTTCGTAGATAAGCTCATTTGTGTCATATTTTAGATTCCACATATAAGTGATATCATATGGTATTTGTCTTTCTCTTTCTGACTTACTTCACTTAGTATGATAATATCTAGGTCCATCCATATTGCTACAAATGACATTGTTTCATTCTTTTTTATGGCTGAGTAGTATTCCATTGTATACATGTACCACATCTTCTTTATCCATTCATTTGTCGATGGACATTTAGGTTGTTTCCATGTCTTAGCTATTGTAAATAGGGCTGCTATGAACATAGGGGTGTGTGTATCTTTTCGAATTATAGTTTTCTCCAGATAAATGCCCAGGACTAGGATTGCTGGATTATATGGCAACTCTATCTCTAGTTTTTTGAGGAGTCTCCATACTGTTCTCCATAGTGGCTGTACCAATTTATATCCCCACCAGCAGTGTAGGAGAGTTCCCTTTTCTCTACACCCTCTCTGGCATTTGTTATTTGGAGACGTTTTAATGATGGTGGCCATTCTGACTGGTGAAGGTGGTATATCATTGTGGTTTTTTTTTTTTTTTTTTGCGGTACGCGGGCCTCTCACTGCTGTGGCCTCTCCCGTCGTGGAGCACAAGCTCCGGACGCGCAGGCTCAGCGGCCATGGCTCACGGGCCCAGCCGCTCCGCAGCATGTGGGACCCTCCTGGACTGGGGCACGAACCTGTGTCCCCTGCATCGGCAGGCAGACTCTCAAGTACTGCGCCACCAGGGAAGCCCTGATTGTGGTTTTGATTTGCATTTCTCTAATAATTAGCAATGTTGAGTATGTTTTCATGTGCCTGTTGGCCATCTGTATGTCTTTTTTGGAAAATTCTATTTAGGACTCCTGCCCATTTTTTGATTGGGTTGTTTTTTTGTTATTGAGTTGTATGAGCTGTTTGTATATTTTGGAGATTAAGCCCTTGTTTGTTGCATCATTTGCAAATATATTCTCCTATTCCATAGGTTGTCTTTTCATTTTGTTTATGGTTAACTTTGCTGTGCAAAAGCTTGTAAGTTTGATTAGGTCCCATTTGTTTATTTTTGTTTTTATTCCTATTGCCTTGGGGGACTGACCTAAGAAAACATTGGTCTGATTTATGTCAAAGAAAGTTTTGCCTATGTTCTGAGAGTTTTATGGTGTCATGTCTTATATTTAAGTCTTTAAGCCATTTTGAGCTTATTTTTGTGTATGGTGTGAGGGTGTGTTATAATTTCATTGATGTATGTGACTGTCCAACTTTCCCAACACCACTTGCTGAAGAGACTGTCTTTTCTCCATTGTATATCCTTGCCTCCTTTGTTGAAGACTAATTGACCATAGGTGTGTGGGGTAAGGAGTTTTGATATTGTAGACTTTCTCAATTATTTGAGCCCCTTCTGAATTAAATGCCAAAAATCACATAGCAATCTTTTAACAAAAATTATTTTTAATAATCTATTGGTTGACACCTCAATTTTCAGTTTTGTTGAAAGCAAAAGAGTTGGAAACTACCTAACTTTCAAAAGGACTGTTACCCGGTTAGAATCACTCACTTTTCAATTTCTGGGAAGCATACCAGAAAGGCTTTACCAAGACTTAACAAATTAATATTACGTATATATTTTATTCTTTCAGATGGAAAGAATTCTTATTTAACCCAATACACTCAGAAAGAACTGGGAACATAAAAAATGAATTTTAATATGCCTTGCCCATTCAGCTCACCCTTAAACAACATGACTTTGTGTGGGTCCACTTATATGCAGGTATTTTCAATAAATATATTGGAAAAATTTTTTGAGATCTGTGACAATTTGAAAAAAATCTCAGACAAACCACATGGCCTAGAAATATTGAAACATTTTTTTAAAAGTTAGGTATGTCACGAATGCATAAAATATATGTACATACTAGTCTATTTTACCATTTACTACCATAAAATTTATACAGATCTATTATAAAAAATTAAAATTTATCAAAACTTAGGTACACAAACACTTACAGATCATACATGGCGCCATTCGCAGGCCAGAGAAGTGTAAACAAACATAAAGATGCAGTATTAAACCATAGTTGCATTAAATTGACTGTAGTACTAACTGTGCTACTCTAATAATTTGGTAGCCACATCCTGTTGCTATTGCAGTAAGGTCAAGTGTTGTGAGTATCTGCTTAAAAGGCTTTGTGAGGTTAATCATCTCCACATGAGCAGCTACTAACTGCTCTCTCCAGTAAGAAACATATCACAGTAAAAAGTGATCTCTCATGGTTCGCACGTATTTTCCATTGTGTTTAAGGCAATACTGTACACCTTGAGTAACATCATAGGACCCATACGAAGTTCTATCAGTGATGCCGGAAGTGCTCCCAAGAAGCAGAGAAAAGTCATGACATTACAAGAAAAAGTTGACTTGCTTGATACGTACCGTAAATTGAGGTCTGCAGCTGTGGTTGTCCACCATTTCAAGACAAATGAATCCAGCGTACGGACCATTGCAAAAAAAGAAAAAGAAATTCTTGAAGCCCATCGCTGCAGCTACTCTAGCAGGAATGAAAACCTTGCACTTTTTGCGAAATGCCTTTTTATCTCGTATTGAAAATGCAGCTTTTATGTGGGGGCAGGATTGCTGTAAGAAAGGCATACCTGTAAACTCAAATGTGATTCAAGAAAAAGTGGTCATTACACGACAACTTAAAGCAAAAGGAAGATGAAGGATCCAAGGCTGGAGAATGTAATGCCAGCAAAGGATTGTTTGATCATTTTAGAAAGAGGTTTCGCTTAAAAAATGTCAAGACAACAGGAGAAACAGCTTCTGCTGACCAGAGGCAGCAGACAGGTTTCCAGAAGCCATTAAGAAAATCATTGAAGAGAAAGGATATCCATGTGAACAGATTTTTAATGCAGCTGAAAGTGCCCTATTCTGAAAAAAAAAAAAAAAAGCCACAAAATACATTTATTAGTAAGGAACAGAAGTGAGCAGCAGAATTTAAGGCAGGCAGGGGTAGGTTAACTCTACTGTTTTGCACAAATGCAGTGGGGTTTGTGACCAGGACTGCCCTTATCTACAGAGCTGCTAAACCCTGAGTCTTGAAGAGAAAAGATAAACACCAGCTGCCAGTCTTTTGGTTGTACGACAAGAAAGTCTGGACGAGAACTCTTTTTCTGGATTGGTTCCATGGGTACTCTGTCCCTGAAGTCAGGAAATACCTTGCCAGTAAGAGACTGCCTTTTATATTCTTTCGATATGGGACAATGCCCCTGGCCACCCAGAACCCTATGAGTTCAACACTGAAGGCGTCAGTGTGGTCTACTCGCCCCCAAACACAGCGTCTCTAATTCAGCCTCTGGATCAAGGGGTCATAAGGACCTTTAAGGCTCATTACACATGGTACTGTATGGAAAGGATTGTCAACTCTATGGAAGAGGACCCTGCTAGAGAAAACATCATGACAGTCTGGAAATGTTACACCATTGAAGATGCCATTATTGTTATAGGAAAAGCTGGGAAAGCCGTCAGTCCCCAAACAATAAATTCCTGCTGGAGAAAACTGTGTCCAGATGTTGTGCATGACTTCATGGGATTTACTACAGAGCCCGTCAAGGAAATCATGAAGGACATTGTGGATGTGGCAAAAAAGGTGGAAGAGTGAAGGGTTTCAGGATATGGATCTTGGAGAAATTCAAGAGCTAATAGACACCACACCAGAGACGTTCACAGAAGATGACTTGATGGAGGTGAGTGCTTCTGAACCAGTGTCATACGAGGAGGAAGAAGACACAGAAGAAGCAGTGCCAGGAAACAACCTGACGTTAGACAATCTGGCAGAAGCGTTCTGATTAATTAAGACTGCTTTTGACTTCTTTTACAACATAGACCCTTCTGTGATACGGGCACTGAAACTAAAGCAAATGGTGGAAGAAGGATTGGTACCGCACATTTTTAGAGAAACGAAAAAGCAAATACGTCAGACAAATTATGTTGTGTTTCCATAAAGTTACACCGTGTGTGCCTGCCTCTCCTGCCTCTGCCACCCCTGAGACAGCAAGACCAACCCCTCTTCTTTCTCCTCCACTCAGCCTGCTCAACGCGAAGATGACAGGATGAAGACCTTTATGATGGTCCACTTCCACCTAATGTACAGTAAATAATCATCATGTGGTACAGTTAATAAACTTATCTGTTGTACATGTTTGTGTCTTTGTATGAAAGTCTAATACCTGCACAGCAAGAGCCGTATGAGATATTTTTGTGTCAGCATCAGCATCTCCTAAGCATTCGTCTTGTAGAACATCGTGTGCAAGACTGGTATTGAAGAGGATACCCTATCCTTACGTAGGCATAAGGTGAGTGATACTTAATATAAAACTAATAATGTTTTAGTTTGCTTACTGTTTTATAACTTTGCTTTCAAAGACTTACTTTACTGTACAGTATACCTCTCTGATAATTGGAGAAACCAGGTATCAGCCTATCATCACAGGTAAGTTGTTTTTTAAAAAATGTAACAGTGTTTCCAATACTATATTATGAATATGACTATAATACTATATGCTATAAAAATTTTATAACGATTCATTAGTGTATGGGCTAGGCTACCGTGAAGCAGTTGTATCAATTATACTAGGCTACCGTAAAGCAATCATATTGCTGCTTCTTCATTATCAATGCATGAATACCTGTAAATAAAAATTTCTTTTTTACATTATCTTTTCATTTTTCATGTCTGTTATTAGTGATACTTATAACACCTACAGTGTTTTGTATCATATAAGACAATACTGATGAAGGTGCTGACAGATGATTCATCTTGTAAACAGAGGATGTAAGTTCATGGTATTGATAAATAAAGTAAAATACTGTAATTGTATTTTCTCTTCCTTATATCTTTTTTTAAAATTAATTAATTTATTTGGCTGCATTGGGTCTTAGTCGCTGCACACAGGATCTTCATTGAGGCATGCGGGATCTTTTATTGCGGCATGCAGCCTCTTCGTTGCAGTGTGTGGGCTTCTCTCTAGTTGTGGCGCTCAAGCTCCAGACTGCGTGGGCTCAGTAGTTGTGGTGCACGGGTTCTCTAGTTGTGGCGTGCGGGCTCTAGAGCGTGCGGGCTCAGTGGTTGCAGTGCACAGGCTTAGTTGCCCCGTGGCATGTGGGATCTTAGTTCCCCGACCAGGGATCGAACCTGCGTCCCCTGCATTGGAAGGTGGATTCTTAACCACTGGACCACCAGGGACGTCCCCTGTGATTTCTTAAATAACATTTTCTTTTCTCTAGCTTACTTTATTGTAAGAATACAGTATATAATACATATAACATATAGAATATGTGTTAATCGACCATTTATATTATAGGTAAGGCTTCCGGCCAACAGTAGGCTATGAGTAGTTAAGTTTTGGGGGAGTCACAAGTATATAATGTGATTTTTGACTCTGTGGCTGGGGCGGGTGCTGGCACACCCAACCCTCACACTGTTCAACTATATAGTTTTTAAAAATAAAATGTGTATATAGGGTCAACTATATAATTTTTTAAAATAAAATGTGTTATTTTTTCTTATTATGTGCTTTAACTATAATTTGTTAAAAGCTTGGAGCTGCAGATTTGGTGCATTCAATTTAAGGGAAATGTCTGTCATATAAAAATATTGGCAACCCCAGACATTATCAAATTAATCATCCCATTAGTCTTCATTTCTCAATTTCAATAAACATGTGTTTCCCTATGGCACACATATCTTATCTGAATTCTAGCTCCAAACGAATGGCTAGATAAGGCAGAGATCCTTGTCCTGAGCGTGCTTCCCTCTACTCCTCCCTACTCTTATGGATTCACCTGAGATCTTACCACCAGAATCTTCACCACTTGTGAAATCTCTACCTTCCAGTTCTCCAGCTCACTTGTTCTAGTTACTTGATGCTGTGGTGGGCAGAACAGAGGTCCCCCAAAGATGTTCACATTCTAAACCCAGGAACCTGTGAATATACTACCTTACATGGCAAAATGGACTTTGCAGATGTAAAAAAGCTACAAAGTTTAAGATAGCTAGGTTATCCTGGATTGTCTAGGTGGGCCCAGCCTAATCACATGAAGCCTTAAAAGCAGAGAACTTTCTCTGGCTGGAGTCAGAGAAATGCAACAAAGAAGTAAAGCAGAAGAGATGTGGCAAAAGGGGCAGAGTCAGAGATATCTGAAGTGTGAGGAGGACTCCATGTGCTGTTGCTGGTTGGAGGATAGAAGAGACAACATAACAAGGAATGCAGGAGCTTCAAGAAGTTATAGAGGACTTCCCTGGTGGTCCAGTGGCTAAGACTCTGTGCTCCCAATGCAGGGGGCTCAGGTTTGATCCCTGGTCAGGGAACTAGATCCCTCATGCTGCAACTAAGAGTTCGCACGCCACAAATAAAGGTCCCGCATGCCACAACTAAAAAAAAAAAGATCCCTCATGCTGCAACTAAAAACACAAAGATCCTGCATGCCGCAACAACGATCCTGCGTGCTGTAACTAAGACCTGGTGCAGCCAAATAAATAAATATTTTTTAAAAATAAAGAGCTGATGCTAGAAATTAAAAAGAAAAAAAGAAGTTATAGAGACTCCTGGCTGACAGCCAGAAAGGAAATGGGGACCTGAGCCCTACAACCACAAGGAACTGAGTTCTTTTTTTTAAAAGTGAAGTATAATTGACTTACAATATAATTGGCTTACAATACTATATCAGCTTCAGGTGTACAACACAGTGATTCAATATTTTTATACATTACAAAATGATCACCACGATAAGTCTAGTTACCATCTGTCAGTATACAAAGTTATTAAAATATTATTGACTATATTCATGCTGAGCATTACATCCCAATGACTTATTTATCTTATAACTGGAAATCTGTGCCTCTTAATCTTCCTCACCTATTTCACACATCTACCCCTCCCCCACCCCACCACTGGCAACCACCAATTTCTTCTCTTGTATCTATGAGTCTGATTCATGTTTATTTGTTTGTTTCATTGTTTGGATTCCACATATAACTGAAATCATATGGTATTTGTCTTTCTCTGTCTGAGATTTCACTTAGCATAATACCCTCTACGTCCATCCATGCTGTCCCAAATGGGAAGGTTTAATTCTTTTTTATGTTTTTTTTAAAAAATTAATTAATTAATTAATTATTTTTGTCTGCGTTGGGTCTTCGTCGCTGCCTATGGGATTTCTCTAGTTGCATTTAGCGGGGGCTACTCTTCGTTGCGGTGCGCGGGCTTCTCTTGTTGCGGAGCACAAGTTCTAGGCACGCGGGCTTCAGTAGTTGTGGTATGCGGGCTCAGTAGTTGTGGTGCATGGGCTTAGTTGCTCCGCGGCATGTGGGATCTTTGCGGACCAGGGATTGAACCCGTGTCCCCTGCATTGGCAGGTGGATTCTTAACCACTGCGCCACCAGGGAAGTCCCTCATTCTTTTATATGGTTGGGTGTATATATATATATTTTACATCTTATCTATCCACTTATCTATCAATTGGCACTTAAGTTGCCTCCATTATGTTGGCTATTGCAAATAATGCTGCAGTGAACATAGGGGTGCATATGTCTTTTCAAATTAGTGTTTTTGGTTTCTTTGAAAAAATACCCAGAAATGGAATTGCTGGATTGTATGGTAGTTCTATTTTTAATTTTTTGAGGTAATGTCATACTGTTTTTCATAGGGCTGCACCAATTTATATTCCTACCAACAGTGTACAAGTGTTCCCTTTCCTCAATATCCTCACCAGCACTTATTATTTGTTGTCTTTTTTTTTTGCTATACGCGGGCCTCTCACTGTTGTGGTCTCCTGTCGCGGAGCAACAGGCTCCGGACGCGCAGCCTCAGCGGCCATGGCTCACGGGCACAGCCACTCCGCGGCATGTGGAATCCTCCCGGACTGGGGCACGAACCCATGTCCCCTGCATCGGCAGGCGGACTCTCAACCACTGCGCCACCAGGGAAGCCCTATTTGTTGTCTTTTTGACAATAGCCATTCTGACAGGTGTGAAGTGATATCTCATGGTTTTTGTTTTGATTTCCCTGATGATTAGAGATGTTTAGCATCTTTACATGTGTCTGTTGCCCATCTGTATGTCTTTGGGGAAATGTTCAGGCCCTCTGCCTATTTTTTTAAAAATTAAATTTAATTAATTAATTTTTTTCTGCACTGGGTCTTTGTTGCTGTGCGCAGGCTTTCTCTAGTTGCGGCAAGCGGGGGCTACTCTTTGTTGCGGTGCACAGGCTTCTCATTGCAGTGGCTTCTCTTGTTGCAGAGCACGGGCTCTAGGCACGTGGGCTTCAGTAATTGTGGCACATGGGCTCAGTAGTTGTGGCTCATGGGCTCTAGAGCACAGTCTCAGTAGTTGTGGCTCACGGTCTTAGTTGCTCCATGGCATGTGGGATCTTCTCGGACCAGGGCTTAAACCCGTGTCCCCTGCATTGGCAGGCATATTGTTAACCACTGCACCACCAGGGAAGTCCCTCTGCCCATTAAAAAAATTTTTTTTTTAATATATTGAGCTGCAGGAGTTCTTTGTATATTTTGGATATTAACCCCTTATAGGATATATCATTTGCAAATATCTTTTCCCATTCAAGAGTCTGTCTTTTTATTTTTAAAATTTATTTATTTTTTGGCTGTGCCACGTGGTTTTTGGGATCTTAGTTCTCTGACCAGGGATTGAACCCAGGCCCACAGCTGTGAAAGCACGGAGTCCTAACCACTGGACTGCCAGAGAATTCTCTCTGTCTTTTCATTTTGTTGGTAGTTTCCGTCACTGTGCACAAGCTTTTTAGTTTGATGTAGTCTCATTTGTTTATTTTTGCTCTTGTTTCCCTTGCCAGAGGAGATATATCCAAAAAAATATTGCTATGGTTTATATCAAACAATGTATTGGCTATGTTTTCTTCTCAGAGTTTTATAAAAGTTTCAGTTCTTACATTTAAGACTTTAGTTCATTTTGAATTTATATTTGTGCATTGTGTGAGAGAATAGTCCAGTTTGATACTTTTCTTTTATTTTTTTAACATTTATTTATTTACTTTTGGCTGTGCTGGGTATTAGTTGCAGCATGCATGTGGGATATAGTTCCCTGACCAGGGATCAAACCTGGGCCCCCTGCATTGGGAGTGCTGAGTCTTACCCACTGGACCACCAGGGAAGTCCCTAGTTTGATACTTTTGCATGTAGCTGTCCAGTTTCCCCAGCACCACTTATTGAAGAGACTGTCTTTCCCCCATTGTATATTCTTGCCTCCTTTGTTGTAGATTAATTGCCCGTATAAGTGTGGGTTTATCTCTGGGCTGTCTATTCTGTTCCATTGATCTAT